GAGGTTTCCCTTGGCCAACCACTAAAGAAATCAGGCTGCAGACCTTGTATGATCAGTGTTTCTTCCAGTTCACCCTCACTTCCAGGATATAGCTCTTTGAAATGCTGACCTAAAGCAAGGGTTGTTTACCAGGTACCTGGTTCTACAACCTCTGCAAGCCCTGAACTGATATTATAGATAGAAACACATACATTTCTATATAGAGATACAGATATGTATATATCTAAAGACAAACAGTGTGTCCAATGATCCCTGCAGCCTAGTATTTCCACCCTTGTGCCTATTACATTGTACCAGGATCAGTGACCAATAACAAAAGTGACGGTATGTCACTTCTAAGATTATAAAAGGTTATAAAAGACTGGCATCTGTCTTAGCTTCTCTCTGTCTTGGGGAAGCAAACTTCCATGTGGTAAGCAGTCCCATTCACAGGCCTCCAGCTAAGAGCCAATAAGGAACTGAGACCTGACAACCATGTAAGCTCAGACTTGGATTCTCCAATCCTGTTTGAGACCTCAGATAATTGTATCTCTGTTCAACAGTTGACTGCAAACACAGCCAGAACCAAAACCCCGCTAAGCTGCTTCCATAAAAGCTGTAAGATAAATGTTTGCTTATCATACAATATGCAGTTTAATTCAATGATCATAATTTTTATGTCTACAAGTTAGCTTTGCCTTTTTTAAAAATATGCCTAGTTGGAGCACCCAGGTGGGGTGGTTCAGTCAGTTAAGCATCTGCCTTCTGCTCGGGAAGGGTCCTGGGATAGAGCCCCGAGTGGGCTCTCAGCTCAGCAGCAGCCTGCTTCTCCCCTCTCCCCACCGCTCCCCGTTTATACTCTCTCTCTCTGTCTCTCTGTCAAACAAAATCTTTAAAAAAATTAAAATATCTGCCTGGTTGTTTTTGATAGTCTCTTGTTCATTGCAAATGCTTTTGTTTTCTGCTTTGTCTAAATGTTTTAAATGTCATTTCATATTACACATTCAAGAGGTAAATAAAAAATTTTCTCTGTTTTTAAAGGAAAATGACACCATTTTCTTGTTTCCCTCTTCTAGGAGTGTTTCCTTTGAAAATCCAATAAAAAAAAAAAAAATCCAAAAGGCCAAACTCCTCACTCCAGCCTTTTAAGAATGTGAAAGATTCTCTCAGTGGTCTGGGCTTTATCCCTTTTGGTATGTAAACACCTAGGAAGACAGAGCTTCACCTCAGGAGCTTAAAGTAGGTATATCTACTTGTTTCTAGGGAAAATAAGTTTTATTATTCTTTAGGATGAGGACAACTAATTAAACAAATGGCTACCCCAATTCCAATTCCTGAGTGAACTTAGGGTGAGAGAATGTGAAAAAAACAAAACTCAACCAAGAAGGATCTGGCCACAAACTGTGATGACAGTCCTCCTACAGAAAACTGGTTACCATTAATCCAAATACTAAGCAATAATTGTGCTGCCAAAAGGGAAACAGGCTACTATTGATCCTAAAGCCTCAGGTTTGTTACATGCTAGCTAAAAATTGCATGGTATAAAAGCATTATAATTAATTTAGCTGTATAAACTGTGTGAGATTTTATTCTGATTGGGTAGTTTCTTGTGAACTACCAATATACAACCACTTTATTGTGCTTAACTCAATAACAGAACAAACTTACTTTCATAATATAGTAAAGTATATATATCTCTTTCTTGGTAAGTTTCTTACTTCCCCAATGATATCTAATAATTCCAACTCCTATGGCCCTTTGTGGGTGTAATTTTGCTCTTTGTTGTTTTTCATAATGATCTCATGCCTGGCATTTCTTAAGTGTGGGAATCCTGAGAGCCTGGGTTAAAATATTCCTTTGCAGATTTACATTTGCTTCTGCCAGACACCAGAACACACTGCCCATCGACAACTACTGTGTTAATTTTTCAGCTAGAGGTTCCCCCAGACCATGCAGGTAGAGTAAAATCAAACCCTAAAACTGCATGAGGGCCAACCTGCAGTTATGAATTCTCAGGGAACACTTTTTCCTTCCACTCAGTACCTAATGATGTGGAAAACAAAGGCAGAAGAAAAAGTATTAAATTTCCTTACTACCTACAGCTCATTGACAAGTCCTTGAAATAGGCAGAGTGACAGTCCTCTAGGGACTCAACTGCCTCAATGTTAATACTTTGCTAAGTGCAAAAGACAACCCTAGCCCCACCTGCACCCCCAGGATCCTGTAACCCCCCACCCCCAGGATCCTGTAAATCTACTTGTAACATATGAAAACTCCTTTAGAAACTTCCTTTATCTCTAAATCCCCCAAGATACGTGTTGACAATCACCCCAAACCCAAGCATATGGCCCACCGATATACATCTGAAGGGTCTCATGACTAAGGTTTTATTGACGGTAATAAATGACCTTTCCCAGCAATAGCTAGCCCCCTCAAGGTCCTGGAAACCTCGCTTCCAAATTCCTTAGAGACTTCGGCTATCCCCACCCCCCTCCCAACTTGAAAGTATATAATGGGCCGCTCCTCATGACCCCAGTGCCGCCCTTTCTGCCCACGGGTCCTGTCCCCATGCTTTGTAAAACCACCTTTTTGCACCAAAGACATCTCAAGAATTCTTTGTTGGTCATCGGCTTCAAACCCTAATGTTCCTTCCTACATCATCTAAGGCCAAGCCAGACAAGCCAAGCCAACTAACCTGGTTCTTCCTTTTGCTGGTGAACAGACTGTTATTTTATCCTTCGGATTCAAGTGTTTCAGCATTATGCAGGGGTCTCAGCCGAGCTTATTTCCTCGCCCCCTTACTCTCACCTTTTATGAGCTTTACTTTCGTTCTGCTGAGCTGCTGCTAAAGCCTAAAGTTCTTTTATTTCAGCAAAAGTCCCTAGGGTGGCCCTAAAGTCAGCTTAAGCTTACCCCGTTCATTTTCAGTTCTTGTTCCCCACCTCACCCCTGCCTCTAACCTGATTTCTCTGACCTTGTTAAATGTTTTGATCTGGAGGGAGGGTATCTTATTACATCTTTTTTATCCGAAGGGTCTTTAAAAATATGGCATCCATTATGTTGGTAGAAGGAAATATCTAAGGCATTTGCTTTATAATAACTCTACCCTTTACCAGCCACTATCAAACCTATGGGATAAGATGGAGGTAGACAGAACAGACACAACATAGAATAAAAAACAGAGTATTATTGTTCTCAACTAATTCTCTTAGGTGTCTTGAGTAAACTGTAAGTACTATGTGTCTCTTCCAAACGTGAATACATAGATATTATAAAACATAACTTACGGTATCTGCTTTACTAAAGGAATGTGTCAAGTATTTACTCTTGCTGTTATTTCTTTTTCCCCATCTTCCCATTACTTTCAACAAGGCTCTTTATCCACAATGTCCTTAATTAAAAGTATTAAGAACTTCTGTTTTCTATTCTCCCTTCATGGGAATAAATTTTAAATGATATCAATCAATTCACTGGGCCAAGTGATTTAATGCTACATCTATATGATCTGCAGTATCAGCACAATGCTGATACTCCCCATGAGTCAACTCCCCTATGAGCAAAGACAGTAACTTCTGATATAACACAACAGATTTTGATAGAACTATACCTATTTAAGGACCACGTATTTCTTGGAGGGATATGGGTGAGAATATAAGTACTTGGCTTCCGAAGTACAGGTTAAATTTGCAAGGTATTATTGCTAAACTTGGTCTTTTATTTTTTTTTTAAAGATTTTATTTATTTATTTGACAGAGAGAGACACAGCGAGAGAGGGAACACAAGCAGGGGGAGTGGGAGAGGGAGAAGCAGGCTTCCCGCCGAGCAGGGAGCCCGATGCGGGGCTCGATCCCAGAACCCTGAGGTCATGACCTGAGCCGAAGGCAGTCGCTTAACCAACTGAGCCACCCAGGCGCCCCTAAACTTGGTCTTTTAAAAACTTGGTTAGCCAAATAAGCCTACTTCAGGAGTACACCTAAATGCTATCTTGGTCGCTTCCAAAAGCCACAGAAGATCTTGAATAGTGTGATTTCTGCTGTTTCACAGCACCCTTTTGTGGCAGTAGCGTGTGCAATTAGAGAGGAGGGAACTGGAAATCAGGACACAGAAAACAAAATAATCCAGTTATATGGAGAGATGGGTGGTCTGGAGCAGATATCATGCTACCAGTGATTTGGAAGGCGTGTAAGGCAATAGTATCTATTGCTTAAATTGGGGGCAGGAGAAAGATTGCTAGAATGTAAGCTCCATCAGAGAAAGAGTCCTCAATGATTTACTCCAGGTACATAATATGCATTCAATAAACCTTTGACCGAATACGGCAGTGCTAGAATACTGGAGGAGAAATTCATTCACAACTTGGGACTGGGAGTCAAGAAGAAGCTTGCCAGTGGAATTGAGTATGTCTGGAAAAGGAGCTAGTTCTGGAGGAAAAGTATAACTGGAAACTGTGGTATCAAACCTGCTTTCTCATATGACCCCAACCGCATTCTCTTACTTGAACATGTCATTCAACCTAGGTTGGATGAGACGCAAATCCTCTCTAGATTTCCAACAATTCTCTAACCATGTAAAAATGTTTCTTCCTAATGTTGCCTATAAATCCTCCTTGTTCCATACATAAACGCAAGGGAGAGACCGGTGTCGGCACAAAAGCCGGCAGGTGTGCGGCCAGAGCTACAATCCAGTTTCTGCCGCAGCTGCAAGCACCTTCCCCATTCCCCAGTCTTGGGGCGTCCATCAGGAGGAGATTTGAAACACGACTTAAAAGTATCAGAGTGAAGGTGAAACAAGAACACGTCGGCAGCTCGGGTCCAACTCTTAAAATTCCTGGTTCCAGGCTATGTATTTTGGGTGTGGCTGGCGCCAGCCGTGGAATCAGCACAAAAACTGGGTAAAGGTCGCCAGCTGAAGGCACGGTAGCCAGGAGACCTCTACGTGCGTCAGAGCTGGGGCGTTCCCCTCCGGACAGGCAGAACGCCCCCCTCAAAGCGCATTACGTCAACGAGCACAAGAGCAGTTACCTTGGCAGGATAACGCCCTCCATCCACCACGAGACTCCGCTCCACCCTCCCCTTGGGTACACCCATGCACACAAGGCCAGAACGGTATGTTAACCCTTCCCGGCACCACCTCGTTGTCGTACATCCAACGGCCTGTCGTAACGGCCGGCAAGAGAGCCGAAGGGCACGCACGCGATACACCCTACCCTGCTAGCCGGCATACGCGCACGTCGTTGTCGCAGGCCCTGGACACTGAAGCCAATGAGGAGCGGGGACGTTCCTACGTGTTAGGCAGCGCAGCCGCACGTCCCGCCGCGAGGGGACGGAGAGAGTTCGGTTGCACCAACACCGGTACTTAGGTGCGGACCGGCGTGTCCTTGGACTTAGAGAGCGGGACGTCCGGCTTGCGAGTGGGTACCTTCGTTTCGCGCGCGACGAAAGAGCGGTGAGCGCGCGGCGCGGAGGCCGCAGCGGGCTGGAAGCCGAGCACGGGGGCGCGCGACTGCGTTGAAGGGTGCGCGGGCAGGCCGAGGCCAGCGCCCGGCTTCTGCGGGTGGGGCCCACGCGGAGCCGGTAGGCCCGGGAGTCACGACCCCCGCTGGTGGGCAGCCGGAACCCGGTGGGCTACGGCTTGAGGTGGGGCGGAACCCCAACTAAGTCGGGGAATGACTCGTTCAGGGTCCTGGAAGTCCCGGAGGAGACCTGGATGCAATACGACTTGAGACGCAATACGACTTGAGACCCAGACTCTCGTAGTCGGGGCTGAGGAGCTGTGGAAGTGACAAGACTTCCCGAGATTAAGGGCGGGAAGGCGAGGGACGGCGCGTAGCGCCTCACGTTCTTCTTCAAAGGAAGCAAGAACTGCTGCTGCTCCTCCAAAAAGGGGTCATTTTCCTTCTGGGTCACCTGTCGCTTTTCCCCTTAACCTGCGTAGGTATCTCGGGAAGGTAGGTTTCATCAGTTTCCCTGAAATCGGACTAATTGGGTGACCTCGTGGTTGACTCCTGAGATCCCAGACTGGAGGATGGGGGTCCCTGGGAAACCTCGCAGCCCACCACTGCCCTCCCACCCACACGGCAAGGCAGTTTATAGTGACCTGAGCAGGCTGGATCAAGGATGCACGACTTCTATTTTTTTAAAACGTATTCTGACTTGCCAGAAGTTCTTCAATTTGTAGTATGGGTAAATAATTAGGCTTTCTTAAAGGTGGACATTTTGGTAGTTTGGGTTTAATGTAATCATGGTTTTGACTTAGAGTTGTGACTTTTTGTGACCTTGACCTCAACTTTTGAAACAGTTTAGAACTAGGTTCCCACTTGGCTTATTTGGGGTTTAATTCCATCACTTAAACACACATAGATGTGTGTTTCAGGAAGTTCTCCTTCCACCTAGTGGTTTGGGACTAAAGAGTCTGTTGCAAGTGTACAGAGCAAAACAAGATTCACTCTGGTACTAACGTCCTAGGTTTGCAGTAGGTTAGTAATTAAGTCACTAGAGTGACTACTGATTGGTTTCCATTGGATCTTTACATGGAAGAAAAAGGTAATAAATTGTCTTTAATTTTTTAGATTTAAAAAATGGGTGATGTTGAGAAGGGCAAGAAGATTTTTGTTCAGAAGTGTGCCCAGTGCCATACCGTGGAAAAGGGAGGCAAGCACAAGACTGGGCCAAATCTCCATGGTTTATTTGGCCGAAAGACAGGTCAGGCCCCTGGATTTTCCTACACAGATGCCAACAAGAACAAAGGTAAGGGGCTGGGGGCGGGGGGTCAGTTTTGAAATAACAGAAGCACAAATTGCATGAATATAACCAATGGTGAGCCCTTTATCGGGAGTGTAAAATACTTAACAATACATCCCTCCTTATTCAGGCATCACCTGGGGAGAGGAGACACTGATGGAGTATTTGGAGAATCCCAAGAAGTACATCCCTGGAACAAAAATGATCTTCGCTGGCATTAAGAAGACAGGGGAAAGAGCAGACTTGATAGCTTATCTCAAAAAAGCTACTAAGGAGTAATAGTTGGCTATTGCCTTATTTATTGCAAAACAGAAATGTCTCATGACTTTTTTTTTATGTGTACCGTATTTAAATTGATCTCATACACCAGAATTCAGATCATGAATGGCTGACAGAATATTTTTTTTTGGACAGTCCTGATTTAAATAAGATTGGCTTGTGGTTAAATGAACATGATCAGCTTTTTGAACACTGATAGTAATTCTGGTTCAGCAAGTGCTGTCACTTTTCCCCTCTTAAAATACGATTGGAATTGATTAGTAATGTTCAGCTTTTCACAGAGATGGTAAATGCCATCTCTAAACTTATAGGAGATTGGTTTTATATTTAGATTTATATAACTGGTTATATTAATATATTTAAATACTGAAGAAATCCCTTCACTGTCTCAGAACCAGCAAGACTCAGCTGTGTTTCAAGTTGTGTTTGTTAGCCTGTTAAAGGCAAGGGTTGAAGATAAGCTGGCAGTGTCCACTTTATCTTTTTGGTCTTAACTATGCCAATTTAATTAAAATTCTCTGCATCTAAGATGTTGTCTTTTGCTTAATGGAAGGCATTTTAGTGTGGTTTATGTTTAATATTAAAGGATAACACCTCACATTTTATAGATGATCTATAAGGTCAGATGCTTTTAAAATTCAGTGTGACAATATTTAGCAGCAGACTTGGCTTGTGAATTCTGTACTACGACTAAGTTATAATTCAGAATTGTCTTCTAAACAGCTATGCAAAGACACAGCTGTGGAAATACCATATATGTATGATTGGTAATGGTGCTTTTGCCAACTTGTTAGAAGGATTAAAATAAAGAGATCTATCATCAGCACAAATTTGTAAATTATGTGATGAGGCTTAAGATAATTAAAAACAAAATCACAGATCATGATTTTTCTCATGTGCCTGATTTACTGACTGATGCCAAAATTTTGAGTAAAACCATTCTAAGTACTTGTGGAGCAGTGTTACTAGTTATAGTACTCAGTTGTGTTTACTTAGTCTTCTAGGACACCCTGAACTAGAACAACACATCAGTAATTTATCTTTAGAGTTTCCTCAGCCAGAATGAGCACTGGAGTGTTTATGCCAAATGTGGATAGGATAAGGTGCTTCTAGTCATAGTTTGGAGGTATATAACTGTATAATTTGTGTACCAAGTTATTTCATACGTGGTCCACGCCATACGATTTAGAGGGGGCCCTGGAGGTTTTATGGAGATGGTGAAATTCTCAGTGAAGGTAATCTGGTGGCGATGAGAGCCATCTCTGAGACAAGGAGACTGGGAAGAGGCTTTGTTAATGGTTTCAAAGGTGATGGGGGTGATAGCCTGTTAAGGCTTGACAAAGCAATTTGTAACTTAGGAATCTCATTTTCAGTCATCAGAGAAATGTAAGTAAGCAAAGAAGTCAGGCATGCAGAAACAATTTGGGAAAGCAGAAGAAAGCCTGCTCTTCAGAGGAAAGGCCTATGTAACAGAGAACTTGCTAACTGCAGAAGTCAGTGGTATTCAGAGACGGTACAGCAATTTAGTTTCTAAGAATTATAGATCATTATGGGAAGACTTGGAGGCCAGGGAGTTGATTTACTTCTGTGCCTCCTACATCAACTAAAGCCTATGTTGGCAGAGATAATTACTAAGTACCTGCTGTGTTCTAGGCCAGTTGTACTCATTAAGTGCCCCTGGTGATTTATGTATAACGTTTAAGTGATCTACAGTTAATTCGGAAGTGAGAGTCCCAGCTATGAAGTATATATGCTTTCTTAGAAATAGAGGACAGGGACACCTGGGTGGCTCGGTCGGTTCAGCATCCGCCTTTGGCTCAAGTCATGATCCCAGGGTCCTGGGATTGGGTCCCTGCTCAGTGGGGAACCTGCTTCTCCATCTCCCCTGCTCTTGCGTGCTCTCTCTGATAAAATCTTAAAAAAGAAGACAAGAGCACTGTCTAACCCATGTTTTCATTCCTATTGCTCCATTATAGGTGGCTTGGTGCTATCACAAGTGAATCAGGTTTTTAAGGAGTGTTTCCCAGGTGCCACCTACACTCTGAATTTTGCCTAGAACAGCACTGTCCAGTAGAATTTCTGTGATGATGGATTGTACTTGGGCAGTCCAGTACGGTAGCCACTAACCACATTTGGCGATTAAGCCCTTGAATTATGACTAAATTTACATAGCCATAGATGGCTCATAAGATTGCTGTTGAGCATTGACATCTGTGAAAGCACTTAACTGGTGAGCACGGGAATACTTTTCATTTTATAGCCATGTCAAATTCCTTGAAAGTCAGTGAAAATTTACCTCTTCAAGGTTGCAGTGGTCAAATTGTCCTATCTAGTGTTCTTTCGTATTCTCAATTAGCTCTGATGATCTCTAGGACTTTTGACACCCTTGACTGCTCTTATTTTAATCTCCCTTGGTTTAAGTAGTTTCACACTCAATGTGGAATAAAACAGGCATTGTAAAATCTTTACACACTTACCTGTAATCTGTTGCTAACCCAAATTCATTTTTTTGACATGACATTTTGGCCAAATTCTAGCCCTATCACTTGGATTGCTTTATAAAGTTCTTTCAGTTCTCAGCTTATCTTTACTACCTCATAAGGTGTATGGAACAAGTATCTTTCCTATTTTATATTTAAACAGGCTCAGAGAGGTTTCTGTCAAAGGTCACACAGGCATTACCTTGGAGTAGTATCACATGAACTGACCCTGCCTTTTTTACGCTGTCTTCTAAAGCTCCATCTCCATTTAAACCGGGTCATCTATTAGTCTCTACAGAACTCACACTTCCTTTTCTTACTAAAGACTGCGTTCTCCAGGGACGCTTGGGTGGCTCAGTCGGTTAAGCTTCTGCCTTCGGCTTAGGTCATGATCCCAGAGTCCCGGGATTGAGTCCCACATTGGGATCCTTGCTCAGTGGAAAGTCTGCTGCTTCTCATCCTTTCCCCCTCATGCTTTGTATCTCTCACTCTTTCTCAAAATCTTAAGAAAAAAAAGACTGCATTCTCCAGGTGTCTGAACCTCTGCAGTCCTTGCAGGTGGTGCCTGCTTGTCCTTTAACGCTGTCCACAACAGAGGCCATTGTGGTCTTGGCATCTTCCAGATCGTTACTACTCTTCTCACAGGCAGAACTACCTGTGTGAGATTCATGACATCTTCGTGGATCCTTCTGTTTTCTGTACTCCCGGACGTTCACTACATTAACTGAAAATTTACATACTCCATTCCAACTCTTAAAAAAATTATACTGGTAATAACTACATAAAAGTGAATGAATGACCTGTCCTTAATGCAACTATAACCTCAAAAAAAATTTTTTTTTAATTTTACTTGACAGAGAAACGGAACACAAGCAGGGAGAGTGGGAGAGGGAGAAGCAGGCTTCCCACGGAGCAGGGAACCCGATGCAGGGCTTGATCCTGGGACCCTGGGATCATGACCTGAGCTGAAGGCAGATATTTAACGGCTGAGCCACCCAGGCACCCCTATAACCTCAAAATTTTTTACTTGATTTTAACTCAGTGCTTCTTTCTCCTCGTTGCAACTTAAACTTGTCATTACTCCAGAACGACTCCACTTCTGAAATTTGAAGTCCTGTTATACAGCCTCATACTACTCCATGTCTCTCTTGATCTCTATTCTGTTTCCTTGAACAACTCAAAACCCCGGTCCCTGACCATTCCCTTGTGGCTTTCCTTAGCCAGCTTCTCTGTATCTTTTCAATCACTGCATTGCCTGCACCCTCTACCGTTGTCATCTGTGTTGCTTTTTGGGGCATCCGCTCTATGCACACCCAGGCTGGGAGCAGCCCAGCTATCTGATTTCTCCACTTCCACACCCAATCTGAGCATTACTGGAGAAAATCACACACATCTGCCAACTGGCACACTGTTGTAAACCTCTCATTCAACTGAACGAGCAGACACCCAGCACAACTGTCATTATATAACCATTCTTTCCCAGTCTTCCTCATGGTTATAAAATCATGCTCCTCAAGCATATCTCTCCCCTCCCCTCTCGCAGTAGATCGATGACCTTGCCTCCCATTTCATACACGAATTCTTTACTTCCTGACTACAAGGAAGGGTTTTGTTGTCTCCCATCCCCCACCTTCAACAGTGTTCTTAATTCAGATATGGTTCAGAATGTTCAATTACATCAACAGGAGCTCCAGATGTGTCCCAATTCCCAACCCTCTGTCTTCTGCTTCCTCTCCCATAGAAGTTTGAAAAGGTAAATGCTTGCTTTCATTTCCATGCAGGAGCTTCACTTTGGGACCCATACTCCAACAGAACAAATACACTTACGTTCTGGAAGTTAACAGCTTTTCTTAGTTTAATGAAATTGTAGCTCGGCATGGTTAATACATCTGAACCAAGAGATTAAAAATCTTTACAGTTCGGGGAGGATAAGGGAAATCTATAGGTTTTCTAAGTCACCCGCCCTGAGTTGGAGCATATCATACTGTCAGATAAATTTTACTTTTGGTGAGTGTTGGAGGAAGACAGCCCAAGGATCTGAACCCTCTGCTGATGCTGCTTAATGGACTCCTGCACAATAACACTTCTGTGCCTTAAGTTAACTCATCTGTAAACTGACATTAATTACAACATCCCTGAGGGTTGGTGTAAGGATTAAACAAGAGAATGTGTTTAGCATGCTGCCTGACACTCTACACACTGAAATGATAGCTAATTTTTAATTGGATGGGCAGTACAATTTATTAAATTAATAGCTGGACAGATTGCATGGAAGGGACACCAAGCGGACTCCTAACTGAAGTGGTATAATGGAAGAGAAGTGCCTAGAATCAGATTTGTATCCATGACTCCAGACCATAATTGTGGTAACTCACTCACCGGGTGATGCCTCATTCCCTATTCGTGACCAGGAACAGGAATCAGTGAAGAGCAACGTCCATCAATTCCATTTACCTTTTTGGAGGGAGGTCTGAGATGTGGTCAAAGGATTAAATGGGCACCTAATTTTCATACACTTGTGTGTCTAGTTTTTCCAGCAACTTAATAAAGACAAAGTTGTTAATGCCCTACTTATTGGGATTATGCCAGTCTGCCAACTTCTGAATCTTTAAAGGTAATTTCAACAAGGAAGGAGACAAATCAAGATGGGACCATGTGCATTAAAGGCAGCTTAGAGGGCCTCCTAGGTGGCTGTCGGTTAAGCATCCAACTCTTGGTTTCAGCTCAGGTCATGACGTCTCGCTCCTGGGATCAAGCCCCACGTTGGGCTCTGCACTCAGCACGGATTCTCTTTCCCTCTCCCTTCTGCTAACTCTCTCTCTCAAATAAGTGATAATAACAAAGGCAGCTTAGAGGACAATGTTTAGGAGGCTGACTCCAGCCCTCCACTGTTCTACCTCCCAGGATTTATCTGGAGGCGCAATCCAGGTCATAGTAGGATACCACCAGCAAGTCCCTTGCCTGTGAAGAACTAGTGCTTCAGTTTCCTGTCTTGGCACAGTGGTTACAACTTGTCACGAGCAATATTCAGTAGGTGTATTTTTAAAGACTGTTGAGTCTGGAAACCAGCACCTTGTATAATTCTTGGATGGGTCATGTGTGATGTAAGAAAATACCACTATTTTAGCCAAACAAACACGTACCCAGGTTAGAGACAGTATGGGAAGAGATCTGTGGGAAAGATTATTTTTTTAAAGATTTTTATTTGTTTATTTGTCAGAGAGAGAGCGTGCACAAGCAGGGGGAGTGGCAGGCAGTGGGAAAAGCAGGCTTCCCGCTGAGCAGGGAGCCCAATGCGGGACTCGATCCCAGGACCCTGGGATCATGAACCTGAGCCGAAGGCAGACACTTAATTGACTGAGCCACTAGGCATCCCTGTGGGAAAGATTTTTAATTTGTGAGT